GAACAGATCTCCATCACCATCCAGAAAAAGACCTTATGATGCTCGCGAAAAAATAGATAAAGCTCGTTTACTTCAAGTCGCTCAGAAAAATGTTTTAATGATGTTAGAAAAGGGAACGTTACCAAAAGGATTTAATATTGATTCTATTCGGCCAGAACAACGGGTGTCATTGAAGACGGGAGGAAAATCTGTTCAGGAATTAACTGGTATGTGCATTTATATTATTTTATGAAATTCTAATTATTTATGAAAGTTAAAGTGTAATTTGATTAAAGCCAAGTGATAGTCAGATTAGTTCAGGCTATATTACTGCTATTAATAATTAAATGCTAAGTAATTTGGCCTAGAGATGGGTGTTAGGTGACATCTTTTATTACATCTAATCTAATCTGGTGATCATTTTGCTTTAATATAATTATTGGGCTTTATTATATTTGTGTAATTTGATTTCAAAAGTATGGTGTATAAGCTTAAATCTGACTTGAAATTAGATGTAAATTAAATAATTATCAAGACATATCTAAGCATGATAAAATAAATCAATTTGTTTTTGAAACTTTAAATTCAAAGTGAGAGTTAAGTATTTATTTTTGATTCATTCTACCTCGAAGGCACTAAGAGGGCCTTTTTAATTATATCCATCATGGCTTTAGCCAGGATCACAATGGGTGTGGCCATATGATAAGGGATGTCCCGAGCATCTGTGAAAAATTCCTGGTCTTTTTTTTATTATTATTTAAATTTCAGAATAAATATAATGAAATAACGTTTGCTAATGACATCAAAACTTGGTAATATAACCTTATACTTTTCTGCATAAATATGTTCAGTTCTGATAATTGCAAATTATGATGTCAGTACAATTCATTCAGCCATTTAAATGTTAAAATTAATATAGCAAAATATTGGTTAGTAAATCAACTTTCACACACTTAAAGGTCTTTTAGTATGAAATTATTTTGTATTTTAGATTTTTGCCGTGCTATATCACAGAGAGATCAAGAGGACAATTCTAGTAATGGAAGTCAGGATAAACAAAGTGATATTGACACTCCATTTATACATCATCCTTTTAAACTTAAAGAGCATCAGCCAGTGATAAAACTAAATATTAAGGTAATAAACTTTTTTGGTTGAAATTTTATTGATTTGAAAGATAAATATTTTACTTATAATTGAAAATTAATAAAAAAATTTTTAAACAGAATGCTGTACAGTTACCAGTAAAAACGCCTGCCGAAAAAGTTGCAGATGCCGCTCGTTTACGCACACAGTTTCCTGTTTCTAGCGGCAGTCAGCATCGACTTAAAGAACTTCAGTGGGTTCCCGTTGAAGAAGATTCTAAGTCATCGACTAAATCTTCTAAATCTTCGCCTGCAAATACTGTTTCTGTGATTGAATCTCAAACTGAAATTGTTTCAACACCACCAGAACCAGAAGAACCACCTCCTCCCCCTCCTCCTCTACCACCACCAGCACCTGTAATTAGTACTTTTGCTCCTGCTGTGCAATCTACCTCATTTTTTGAGTCAGTTTCACAAAATACTAGCATGCATGATATGGTTTGTATACTTTAAAATAAAAAAATTTCTATTTTTATAATAATTTTAAATTCAGGCAGCTCTTACCATATATTTAGATAATGTTTAAACAGAAATATATTAATTTTTTTAAGTATTGTAGAAAGTAAAAATTATTTACTAACTTTATAAAAAAATTCTTTATTTTTGTCAAAAGAATAGAAATAGTGATGTGCTAGCAATATTGAACAAATTGAAGATTATTTTAGCTTCAATTATTCAATAGTGATCTATTAGATTTAAGAGAAATCTGATTCTTTTTAATTTTTTCATTAACTAGTTCAGGCCTGTTCAATCAGTCAATTGCAAGCTACCGATCAATTGTGGCATGCTTTTCAGTTGATCGTGAACTCTCATCCATTACACATAATAAATATTATTACAGTTGATTCTAATAAATAAATTAAGTGAAGTTAATGTGATGAGAGTGACATCAGGAGGTTTCAATAAAACAAATGTTGTTTTTTATTCTTTACAGTCAGAGATTCTTTGTATGTTATGGTAAATTTTCTTAAAGTGATTTTCTTCTATCTTTGTGATTGGAAGAGGTAGGGAAAATAGTTTATTTCCTTGCCACAGAACTACAGCATAATGTAAACATGTTTCTTTTTGAATGAATTAACTTATTTTACTATAATCATTGCAATGAATCTGATGCACTGTAATGCTGGAAAGACTTTTGCACCTCTGGATAAATGTTAAAGTGAATATTCTGTATTTTAAAATACAGTAAATCATGCTATTGAATCATTTAGAACATGATGCTAAGTGAAAATGATTGGTTGTAAATATTAATAATTCTATTATTTAATAATTCATTTCTTACAGACATCATTCTTCAAGACATCATGAAAGAAAAAGTTCAAAAACAGTTAAAAGATCAAGATCTAGGTAAAGAATGTATATTATTTGAATGTCTTTAAACAGATCTTAAAAACAGTTAAGATAATTCTGATAAAGCCCATTATTTTATTGAAAGTATTTAGTTTAAATTTATTAAATGTTCAGATCAGTTAAAATCCATAAAGATTTTTCAAACTGTATTGAATTCATTATGAACAGATCTCCATCACCATCCAGAAAAAGACCTTATGATGCTCGNTTTGAATATAAATTATTTATAAATACGTATGTCAAGTTATATTTTTATTATGACGCAAAATATATTTAAGAGTTTACGACCACTGTGCCGGGTGAGACGTTGTTGAAACAAAAAATGTTATGCATTCCATCACGTACATAAACAGTGTCGTAATTCGCCAAGTGCAAATCAGCAAATTCGCAAAATTTTTGTTTATTTTGAACAATCCGGATAATAGAGGTCCGGATAATCGAGGTTCCATTGTAGTTTAAACAATTTTATAGTGCTTATGATGACTCAGCATCTAGAGACAAATGTACTTGGAATCCTTTCTTTATAGCACTACATAATTTGTTAATGGTTTAGTGGCTAATAGCAAAACAGGTGTGCCATTTTCTTATGATGGTAGATTGTAATGTTACTCTTAGAAGAAAAAGTAACTTGTGCATGAAAAGGTTGGGCAGCCTTGAACTAGTATATCATCAAATTTTCATTTTTATACAGGCAATCTTCAGCTTTCAGATGTGATATGTTTCTAAAAATGTGAAAGTCAAATGTTTAAAGGTCAAACAATAAAGTTATAGTTGTACAGGGTGGTTCAAGATTGCAGTATGAAACTTCACCAATAGATTCCCCACCACAAAATGTGATGAAAATATCAGTGTGTAAAGGGAGTTCCATTTGCAGAAAGCTAAAAAGAAAAGTTATGAACTGTAAAATTTTAAAAATCCAGGATAAAATATATTATAAAATTACAAAAAGTCTAGTGTTGATTGTGTTCAGTGGTTGGAATGGACATATTGAAGGCTTCCAAATGTTTTTGTATTAGTCTTTCATTTTTGTAATTTTGCAATTATGAACTCTCTCAATGAGAGAGTAAAATTTTATCAATAATTTGCTACAATGAACATATTTTAAACATAAAATGTTTTATTTAAACTGTAGATAAGAGATATATAGATAAATGTAGAAACTTTTTTCTGTTTAGAAAAAAAACAATAAAAATTAATTTTCACAAATGATTTTGACATTACCAAACCAAAACTGGCAGAAAACATTGAATAATAGCTTGAAATTTTTATTTGTTAAATGAAAATCTGAATTAGATGTGCAAAAAATGGAGTATCAAAATATTGTATATGGAAGAGAATGTTGTCCAAAAGGTGAGGATTGTTTGACCTTATTACAGAATGCTTCAAAAAATGTCAACACTTATATGGAGAACATGCACAGACACTGTGGCAGAGATAGTGGGGCCATACTTTATTGAGAACTCCACAATTGGGTTGTGACTTCTTTCAGAACTATGCAGAGGACATTTAATGCATAACAAGTTACCTCCATATTAGTGTTAATGTTCCTTTGAAGCACTTTGTATTTAAAACAAATGAATGTATAATATAACTTATACATAGATGACTCCTTCATTATCTATAAAGATAAGAGGAGTGACAATAATTAGTAATAATAATAATTATAAAAGTAGAAATTATTGTGTTTTGAAAAACTAAATTTATAGTAAGAAATGTATATGAAAAGTGAGGGCTGCCTACATCAATGATACATTATATTACTAGAAAATAAAAATGGTTGTTTTTTTTAGGATCTTACTGCAATTGTTTCTCAAAGGCTAAAAGCCATTCGGAAATTACAAGAGAATCCAAATGACGTGGAAGCATTAAACCAAATGTTTCAGTCCCAACAAAAAGTAAAAACTTTAATTCTTTATTGATTTATGAATAATTCAGTTGAATTATGTTCATTGTACTAAGTTTAAACTCTTCATTATTTTATTTATTTAAAAAAAATTTTTTTAAGATGCAAGCCTGGGTACAGTCTAAACAACTTCCTGGTCAATATACAGGTAGTACTGATATACGGCTTCTTAGTCCAGAAGAATTAACTGGACCTGTTCCAGTTTGGGTAAAGAAGGTATGATTAGTATTTGTAGAAAAATACACAGAAATAATTTCATACAATTTTTAAAATTCATTTAATTGGTTAAGGTTGTTGTCCAAAAACAAACAATTTATTTTTAAAACAGTTTCAAATTTAATTTGCAAAAAACAATACTTAAGCCGACATCAATAACAAAACATTATTATTAAACTATTATATATAAATATGCATGCATACACATTCATATAAACATTCACATAAGCTAAATTATTCTTAAAATATAGTGATCAACAACCTTGTATCCAGCAAATAAATGAATTGTGGCTAAAAACATTCATTAACTCTTACAATTTGTTGATTTGATGGGTTAAATGCTATTGATCACTATATTGTAGACATCCTGTTTGTCATTCTTATGCGGTTATTCTTAAAATTTGACCAAGATGCTATGAATATAAAAATTTTGTTTCTTTGTTTTGAAGTTTTATAACTTTTTAATCAGATTGAAAAATTTATAATACATATAATCTGTTTGTATTTGAATTTCTTCATGAAAATAATTGTATTTCATTTTTTAAAATCATTATCATCATCATTAAAAATTTAATTTAATGATCCTTATCATCATAAATCTATATGATTTTAATTTCTTTTTAAATTATTTATTTTATTTTATTCATAAATTTAAAAAAAAATATTTGTGTATTTATTTTATTTTATTGTTTTCATATAAAGTAATTATTTGCAAGCAAATTAAACTATTAATATATAATTTCTTTTTATGATTTATCACTTTAAACCATTAGAATAAATTAATTTCTCACTTCTCCATTTCCATTACAAGTCAGATTGTGGATTGCTTCTGATTTGTTTATGACTCCTCCTCAAAGATTCTTTTAACATTGTATCATCTTTTCAAGATCTTGATTTTGACCTGCCACCTTCTCCTGAGCCTTGAGTGAATTAATTTAAATCTCTTCATCTTAAATATTAATTTAAATAAATTACTTAGGAACATTTCAATAAAATTTAAAATGATGTTTATGAATAGAATAAAATTAAATCAGTAAGATTGAATAAACAGTTGTCCATTTCAAATATAATAAATCTGATGATTACTATAAAACAATAGTATTTTAGGTTGAAATTTACAGCAAACCCAGTGTCTTTTACATCAAATTGATTTGTCTGTTGTATCTCCCTTACAGCAACTTGTTGATATCTGCCAGTTTCTTCCCATAAGTTTGCACAGCAAACTTATGGGAAGAAACTGGCAGATATGGGAAGGAAGGAATCAATGGAATTCTGTCACATTTGGAGAAAAATGGCAGAGGCATTGGCATTGATCACTATTGATGCGACACTATTGCTCTAGTTGAAGTTTTGTTTGAATCTTGTTGGAATAGACCAGTGTTTTTCAACCAATAGTTTTACTATGTCCCCCCTAGGGACATATTAAAACTATATCAGTGATTTAAAAAATTACGTATTTAATTTTCTTTCTGTTGAGAGAAATTACTGTTGACTAAAATGAGAATTTAAGGAGAATCGACAATAGCTTAAGACACGTGTAGTATGTTACTTCCTTCTTATAACATTATACCAACAGGGTTTCTCACTTCTACTTTTCTACTTATTATTTCTTTTTACATGTCAGCTCAACACTTTTTCGGCAATCATTTTCTGGGGTGGGCCATACCCTCCCAGGCGACACCCATCATTCGGACCTAAATGTCAATCAAAAAACCAACTGTACTGTATAATAAACAGATACGAACTTCTCGCTGAAATTGTAGTTTTTTTAATGTAGTGTAGGACCTACAAACACTTGTCTTTTTCTTTTACCCGCGACCCCCCGTGTAAGGCTTCGCGACCCACAGGTTGAAAAACACTGGAATAGATGATGGAATTGATCTTGGGTCTTCCAAAGCAGTAGGCTGACATCTTTAACATCCTTGGTCATCTGGTTTTCCAGATACAACCACTGTCAACATTACCATCTTGATTTACCAAACTTACAAACACACCCTACCACATGTAAGTTTTCAACTGTCATTGACAGCCAGTGAACAGCCACCATAGCGAATATAGTGTTTAGCTGACTGCTAGCTCCATGAATTAAGAAGGAAAATGGCATGTTCAATAGAAATGGAATATATGGCAGACAAATCAAGTTGACCTTTTACTAATGAACAATAGTTGTAACAGTACTCACATAAACTGCAAATTAAATCTGAAATATTATATCTAATAATGAGTTATAATACATATTTTGTCAGCAAATAAACATAGATATAATTTTTAGTAAATAATTTGAGACCAAATTAGATATTTATAAATAATTATTTTAGTTGTAAAGATTTATAAAATTAAAAGAATTCAAAGTTATTTAATATATATTTTTTAATATAGTTCAGATTAGAAAAAATATGTTAATATAATAACATATTTTAAAAATCTTAGTAGTAGTAATATTTATTAATAGGACTAAATTGATAGAATAGTTCTTAGTTAACATATAGATAGCATAAGTCTAAACTGTTTGTTTATTTTTAAAAAAAATATTTATTATTGCTGACAACTAATGTATTATGTCACACAAATTCTGATCAGCCTGCTACAGGCTCTCTCCAAATTTCCTTAATGAGCTATTTTTAATCTTAAAGTTACTACATTAATTAGACCACTAATGTAATATGTTACAAACGTGTTTAGGCTAATTTGGCTACTGTAGTTTTCACTGCTTATATATGTATATATTTTTTTTTATTTTATAAATATACAAAGTGAATATCACAGTAGCCTAGCATTAAGCAAGTTTGTGACAAAAAAAGGTAATTGGCTGAGAGCTTGTTGCAGGCATTCTTTCAAAAGAATCTTTCCCGATGTGCTGCGATTTGTCCATTGCACTGCAGAAGAGAAGTTCTAGGTGACTCCGTCGTTGCCGACATTCCGATTAGAATAGGTAAGAGAGCTGAATTGGCAAGCAGTGGTCATTTGAGACTTTGCTTGCACAGCTCTGGTTACTTAGAAACAGCATTTGTATTGTAAATACATATTCATGTGTACTTATTTTTTTATATTAATTTTTCTGTAACAAAATGATATAAATGGTAAATATATTGAAATTTATATTTGTTTATCAGTAAATATGTTGCTATATTAGATGAAGATATTTCTTTTCTTTTTTTTTTTGTTTTAGTTCCACTTTCTTTCAGAAATGAGATTTAACTCCAAAGAAAATCTTATCAATTTTCAGAAGAAATATTTCACAGTATAAAATAATTAAATTTTTCTCATTAATTATAATTTTGATAAATTTTTTCCCTCTACAGCATAATTTTAAATGTATAGAGTACTTTTTTTTTTATTAAATTAAAATTTAAGTATTGCATACAGAATTTATTCTTGAGTGATTAAAGGAGTGATATTGAATGTTATATATTGAGATAATTTAAAATAAAATTGTATGATGAAGCATCTTTCAGATGTGGAATATTTTAAGACTATTTGTAATACTTTTAGGATCAGTTTAGTAGAGCTATGCCTGTTAGAGAAGGTATAGGTATGCATCTCTTACGAAAAATGGGATGGAATCCTGGAGAGGGATTAGGAAAAAATAAGGAAGGTGTACTTGAACCTCTTCTTCTTGATATTAAAACTGATAAAAGAGGTAAGCTACTGATCCCTGCTAAACATCTTTCTCCGAACAACAACATTCATTTTCTGTTGAATACTTTATATTAGGTCTTAAATCAGATGATGACATATCAAAGAAAGTTCCACCGCAACCAATTGCTAAAGATCTTTCAGGTAATTTCAGTATATTAAATTTTTAATTACTTATGAAACTAAAATTGATGATATTTGACATAAAAATATAACAAGAAAACATTTTGGACAATTTAATTAGCTGTCTTTAGATTCTAGTTGAGAATAGTCTATGTTATAGGATTCTAGAACTATGGATATGAATGAATTATAAAAAGTGTACCCTTATTTTCAATGATGTAGGTTGAAAAATTTAATGAGTTATAAAGAATATTTAGCATTCTTATTTTAATTTTAGTGAACATTTTCATTTGATCAATCAAGCTTTTTCAAGAACAACAATCATTTAAAACAGAACATTGTTCCAGTGATTTGCAAAGATTGAACAGTGGTGAAAAAATTAAAAAAAAAAAAAAATTTTTATACGGGGAACGGAAAAAATGTTTTTGTATATCAGTTAGTTTGCCAATGTTGGTGTTACAGGGCTTTTGTATTAAACTTTTTAAAGATTCTCTAATAAAAAATGAAGGTTTTCTTGTGATAAGAGGCAATTAGTTAGATATTGATTCCAGTGTGGAGAGTAGCCTTCTGTTATAATCCTGTTATTTAATATATCATCTTTGTTCTTTAATTCTTTCTTATATTACAAGAGCTGGGCAGTTTGAAGTTATGGGCAATTCTAGGGAATGTAGATTGTTAAATAAATTAGGTTAATTTGGATATACAAGTGCAGGTTCTTAGGGAGATATTTTTTGTAGTCTGGAATATTAGTAGAACTTATGGTCTCCAAGAATTGATAATTCTTGAGGTTATGAACAATTCTAGAATATTGTTATTTGACTGGAAGCTGATGATAAATAATTATATTGTATGCTGGCATACAAGTCATTCTCAAGATTTTCAGCTTTAAAGTTTTGGTTTCAACCTGCCACATGTTTGGGGGTTGAGTCATATAGTATTATTAGTAGTGTAGAACTGAAATGTGGCTACAGTATATGGTAATCCATGCCCAAAATGTATAATAAATATCATATAACTTTCATTTGAGGCAATAACTGCTCAATATGTGATACTTGCATAAAAAGGGATGCAAGCAATAGGGTCCAGGTAAGACATTAAACAACTTCTAAAAATATTTAGTAGGCCAAGTTATTTTGATAAGAAATTCATTGTACAGTACATCAAGCTTACTGGTATATTACTCTATAGTTTACAGAGCATGATAAACTGGTACTTACAGTATATGGTAGTAAAACATTACTAGTATATTCCAGCTTGTGCAGTATTCATTTATACTGAATTATTATTAATAAATTTATTTAATACTGCATAGAGATTAACATAAATATGAGCTTTAGTTGGAAATATTTATGGGTGCATAGAAATTGCTTAATATTCTGCAGAAAAGGTTCAGAACTTGTCCCTGCTGCAAAGTCAGTCTTTAGTTTCAGAAAGCTTTCTCAAGTTTAAAAAGTAAATTTGTATGCTAGCTTATATGGTAAATTAGCTAAAAGTGTTTATTCTTGTTAAATTTTGATGCTGGATATTAAAGATTTGTTTCTTAAATTGAACTTTCTAGTCTAAACTAATAAAAATAACTACCAGAGTTAATTTTTGAAAATAGTAATAATTAGGTGTTGTTATATTCCATTATAGTATTCAGTCTTTGTAATTTATTATACAGTCGACCCCCTATAACACTGATGATTTTTCCATTTTATATGAATTCCATGTTGTACGAGTCACTTAGATTTTACAAATACATGAGCCGTTCACAACCGGGCACATGTATTTGTAAAATCTAAGTGATTCGTACAACATGGAATTCATATGAAACGAAAAAATCAACAGTGTTATGGGGGATCGACTGTAATTAAAAATTTATAATAAAATATTTAATTGTTTTGAGGGAATTCGAAATTTCAATTATTAAATGCATTAATTCAAATTCATGCAAATAAAATTTAATTTTAAGATTTAAGACACTCTTAAATGATTATTGTGACTACAGAATTCTAGCTGTAAAATGATTTTTATAATAATTTTTTTTTATTTCAAGTAGTAATACATTTGAAATAGAGAAACAAATTCAAGATAATGTATTTATCTTTTATATATTGAAGTCAGACATTGGCTCTAACAGCAAAAAACAATTGATACACATGCTATTAGTTTGTCATTCAAGCTGCAGTCAATGTGGAATTTGCTGATGACAATAAACCAAAATTCAGCACATTCATATACTGTATATCTAATCAATGCAATAAATTTTGATCAGAGTGCTGCCAGTTGTTATTGTTTTGTGTAATTGGTGGTAGCCTTAAGCAAAATTGTGATTGTAAACCGTTCATTTCCTAATGATTATTATTTCAAACATCTTTTCTTCCTTAAAAGATGTTGACTTTAGAAGAGCTAAATGGTTGGCCATTAACTCTGACACACCCAAACTTATATACATAATACATACATATATAAATATATGTATGTTTTATTACAGTGTATGCAGGATTATTTTCATTCAGTGACATGGTTTGAGTGGAAGCACAATTCTTATCAAAAATAAAGTGTCTGATACAATCTTTATTAAGCTTTCACTAAAGTTTTAATAATAAGTTTAGTAATAATAGTACAAATCTCTCACATAAAAGTAATTTGGGAGAATTTATTCATATTTATGCAAATATTAAAAAAACAAATAACATGCAAAACAATTTTTTAGTTTCAATTTCAACTTTATAATTATTGAAATGAGATGGAAGAAATTAATTTTGTGAAGTCTGGTTTCACATTTGTTATTTTTAGTTGTAGATGGCATTTTGCAGTTTAAACTTATTAGAGTATTTTGGTCAAATTTAGTTTCCGTGCTAAAATTAAGTGGATATTTTTCAATCACAACTGCTTGCATTAAAATTTAATGCAAATGCATAAATTGTGCTGTTGGTTGATATGTCACATGCTATTAGTTGCTTAAATTATAGACTGAACCTGCATATACTCATGACAAAATATGGCAATAAAAATTTGAGAAATGCAGATGTAATGGAAAGATGACCTCCAGCATACCACAAAAATTCAAATATTTGGTTTTACATGCCAAATTTTAATCTTCAATGCATGAAAATACCTTTACAGGATGATCATTAAGGTATCCCTATTCAGAGATATCCGAACAGATATATATATATAGCTATCCAAACACTACCAAACTTTTCCCTTGCAAAACATTAGCATACAAAGTTTTTCTTCTGTTAGTTTCTTTTTCCCTAATTAGGGTTTTTACTAATTAATTTTGAATATATTCATTTTGTAGTTGTCAGACATTTCTTCTTTCATGAACTCTAGTGTGAGATTTTTGTTTCTCTTGACAATTGGATTATGCCTTACAGACAAATTAAAAAGCTAACTTTGTACTATTGGGTTTTTGGTTTTTATCATACAATTAGAAATATTTTTAGGTAAACACCCAGTTTCTGCTCTGATGGAATTATGTTCCAAGAGAAAATGGGGAGCTCCAGAGTTCCAGCTTATTGATGAAAATGGACCTGACCACAGAAAAACATTTTTGTTCAGGGTAATTTTCATTTTATGATTTTCTCAATAATACATTTATGTCCCATTTAAATAATTCGGAATTTATTTAATAGGTGAGGATTAATGGAGTAGTTTATCAACCCACGTGTTCCAGCCCAAATAAAAAACACGCTAAGGCTCAGGCAGCTGCTGTGTGTCTCCAGTCATTGGGACTACTCCCAAGAGATCTCAACAATCCCCTGTAATTATTATCAAGAAATTTTTATGCAATGTAAATTTGATGTACAAATATTTTTACTAAGGAAGACTTTCACATCCACATTATTTATTTGATCATGTAATTTTCAATAACTCTTCAAAAAATAGATACAAAACCATTTATTTTTATTGAAATATTTTGTTCTAAGTTTAAGAACCATCACTATAAACAATTAATGTAAAACAATTTTATAAAATTTGAAATTAATGTAACAAAATTCACGAGTAGTGTATCAATCAAAAAATTGAATGTATTGTGAATTAATCAATATGCATGTTAATGACGAGAGATGTTCAATTTAACAAATCTCTTGACAAACAATGAAAAATATTCAAAATGATTATCTTAGCTCAATAAGAAAGTAAAACATGTAACTTTTTTACTAGGATGATCATTCTGCTCTATTTTATCCTGGATAGCTCCTTTTAACATTGTATGAAAGGGAGACATTGATGTAGAATCATTTAAATAATGCAATTTTCTGTGTATGTATATATGGATTTCAAATAGTTAAAATATACAAGAATCAATTATCATAAACACTATTACTTTGAATTTAAGATGTACTGTTCCACATGCCTAGGAACATTTTAAATTCAAAGTAAAATGGTAAATCAAACTCTAAGTTGCTTTTTTTTTTTTTTTTTGGAAAAGACCTTGTTGTGTTGTGTGGTTGCTATGTTCCTATTAATGTCGAGGAGATGAAGTGTATATCGTCTTGTAGATACTTTGGTCTTTGACAAGAAAGGTATTTGCATGTGCAATTCAAAATGCTTTACCTTGTCTACATTTTGTTATGGACCTATAAAATATAACATTTTCTTGCGTAGAAAAAGATGTTAAATTTTTATACTCAAAATGTCGGTCAAACCATAAATTATACCTGATAGACAGCAGTTAAAAATTATTCTTACTTATGAGATATTTGTGATTTCTATATCTGTTAAAGTGCATTTACGAACATTGTGATAAAGATTGTTTAAATCTTAATACGATAACTTTCGAAAATGTAGCAATAGAAATGATTAATGTACTCGATAAAGACAATTTTTTTTGAGTTTTATTATTAAAAGATCGCAACACGATATTTTGTGAAAACAAAATATTTTTCCAAGATACACGTGTCCAAGCAATTTGTTTATATTGAAATTTCATGTACAAAGAAATAATAAACTGTCATTTATCTCTATATATGGACCAGAGTGTTATCCTTTTGTCTTTTGAACCGGCAGCTAATAGTTTTGCATGATTTTCTGATTTACCATCATAAAATTTCAAACTGTTTATAGCTGATTTGTGAAAATTTAGATATGCAAGCGGTTTCAGTGTTTTCCAGCTAAACAGGCGAATAATTCCATCCCAACCTCCAGATGCCACAATTTTACCATCTTGTCTCACTGCAACAGAAGATGCACCTGTCACTGGCAAAACAATGCAGTTCTTTTCTACCAGACTCGAAAAATTTTTCATAGAAAATACACAAAGCTTTTCTTCTGCCGAACAGGTAATTCCTTCCCACTTCACAGAATCATCAAAATCTAATCCAAATACTGGTTCCTTGTGACACATTAACTCTGATACTACTGCTGCTTGAGTTACATCCCAAAGGATAATTTTTCCATTTTCGTAACCACAGAGAATATAGTTTTCTGTCTTTAACCATTTTACACAAATGCACATTCCATATTTATCTGGTGATTCTGGTATGAGTGTTGATACCAAACTACATTTTTCAAGATCGTACAAATCTATTTGGCAAGCTTTCTCACCTGGTACAGCAATCAAATTCTTTAATTTTGAAATATCACACTGACAAAATCCAGCTGTTGGTGCTGGAATACTTCCTGTAAGAGAGAAATTTATGTAAGGATCAAGATATAAGTTAATACAATTTCTAGTTTTTGCATAAATTACATCTAACATGAAGTACTACTAACTTAAGGAAATCAAATCTTAATGTTTTTAACCCCATTTTCAACACAAATGTAAAAGAATCATATACAGTAACTCAGTGTTATAGAACTTGTGAGAATTAACATAAGCATAACTGGCAGCATCATGAAACTTGTACTTGTAGCATTTGCTAATTCATGATATTTTTCAAGAGTTTTTCATTTGATCACTTGGCTGTTATAGTAACCTTAATAGGTTAGGGTTACAATTAAAGTATTTTAATAGAAATTTGTGTGGATTTACTTCCTTTCAGATAACAAGTCCTGGTAGACAAGTTGTATTCAACACAAAGAAGTAGAGGCACGTATCTTAAGAAAAGGGTGATTTTTACCAGGACCAATAATTTACCGTATTTTAAATATGGAAAAATTGTAAGTTTCTTAAATAACAATTTCACTTTAATGATTAACAATACTAATACCCAATTAATGAGTTCTTTAATCAGCTGCTTATGTTTTCATTTTATGCATTGACTAATAAATTTTATTAAATATCCAATAAGTTGTTAGTTTTGTGTATATTTTTATCTCATAATTCTTTTCTGTTTGTCAAAAACATTTTAATTTAAAAACTCAAAGTAAAATTATAAAAAAATAATGAATACATCCAATAAGAATTTACACTTAGAAATTACACTCTTTCTAAGTCTTTATTATAAATGATTGTCTTGTAGGTTACCAGCAACGTTCAAGATTCCTTTTATGTGTAGATCTAATAAATGACTGTAAGCAGTGTAATTTTGTTTTTGCATTACTTGGTAGTGTATAAAAAAAAATGAATCCTGCAGTTGGATAACTGGCTTCATTATTGAGAAATCAAAAGTCTAAAGCTATATTTGTTTATAAACGCAATGTAGCGTAATAACGATCACTTGGCACTATTCATTCTTTTATTTCAATATTCGTTGAAATAAAAAGAATGAATAGTGCCAAGTGATCATTATTACGCTACATTTATAAAACAAATATAAAGATATGACACAGTTTCAAAACATGGTCTAAAGCTATATTTGTTAGTTGCCCAGTAGGCAAATATTCTTAATTTCTAACCCTGCTTAAAGCAAATTATGCTTGATATGGCAACTGGTGTCTTTTTTTAACAAATGCTACTTTCTACATACCACCAATAGGAAAATAATTGAAAAATAAACTTACTCTATACTGTGTATTCTTCATATTCCATTGTCCATTAAAGTTTGATAATATAAACTAAGGCAGCTAGGGACCATATTTATTTATCTATTAATTTTACATTGTTTCCAAAGTTTTTGGAAATCCTTGAATAGTAACTGCATCTATTACAGGTACACAACCAAATTTCTGGCACCTCCTGTACTTCAGATTCAAAATTATGAGAGGAATGCTGTGGCCACCAAACTAGTTTACTTGATTGCCATGTTTATTTATGTTATGCTGCATTTGTTGGTTGTGATATTGTTAATTTATTTTGTTTAAATTTAACCCTAGCTATGGCTTCTAAGAGATGAGAGTGGTGCCAAATGTTATTTACATTTATTATTTATTTAAGTTTCTAGCAATCCATAGTATACTTTAGATACATAATTAGTGGGTTAGAGATGTGTTGACAAATTATTATACCTTGGTTAGTCCAGAAAGCATTGGAACCAAGAGTGACAGAAATTTGGCAGTGTAGTGTACCTGTATTATTATTTCAAACTTTAAGGAATATCTGTGATTACTATTTGAGGACATTTATTATTCAAATAAAACCAATATATATCTGAACGTACAAAAGGCAGCTATGAATTTTTCAGCTCCATTACAATGTTATGGGATCTCACATTACACAGTGCATACCTGTAATTATCTGATTAATTCATCACCAATTCATTGCTAAAAGTCTCAATCCATTTTTGTAAATGGTAATAAAATCATTTGTACACTGGTCATGTGAAACATGCTGATCCAAGAAAAGAGAATAAGTGTTGTTCGCACATGTTTTAGTGGATTAACATACAGAAGTACAAACAATCCTCACCCAGAAATTCATTAAGTCTGTTCCTACCAGTTCCAATATCAGACTGTTTGTTACTAAATTCAGGTGAATGGTTAATATACATGATCACACAATGTTCCAGAAGACCCACCATACCTGACAAAATATGTAGAAACTGAGTCTATGTCGTCAACCAGTGGATTAAGCAGAGTGTTCACTGTGCCACAACTGACAGTATGGGAGATCTTTCATTACAAACTCATAAAACTTGCATAGTGTGTCAGGTGTTACATAAGCTGGAGGAGGAGAAAGAGGACTATGCCATCCATCAAGCAATGTGTCATGATCTTTAAGGCTGTGGAACAGGAGGATTTGATGGTTTGTTTGTTTAGTCACAGCAATGCCACACTTGGGTGATCTGCCTGGGAGAATGCCTTCCGGGAGGTCTTTTAAAGGTAACTGGCCCCTTTTTAGGTGTTAAAGATGTGGAGAAAACCCGACACTCCATGTGGCCAGCCTGTCATCATGAAGTGTGATCCCATGACTGAACTACCAGTGTTCAGGGAACAAAACCACTTGGCCACTGGTGGGCCGAGGATTTGATGGTACTTCCATGTATGTTAATCCATTCAAACATGTCCAAACCACAGCAATTCTCTTTTCTTGGATCAGCATGCTTCACACAACTTGCAAATTAAAGATTTTGTTACCATTTAAAAAAGTATCATAGTCATCCTGTATATTAAATGTATCATCTTTCAGTTTGTTGCTCATACTCAACTTCTGGAGCATCTCCAATGAGAGTTGTCTCATACGTGTATAGGCTTCTGATGCACTAATTTTTTAGTATTTGATGAAGTGAAATTTGCTTCAGACATAAAATTGATTTGTAAAATAATAAAGTTAACAAAAACATTTTTTTGGTTCAGAATCATTGATATATTTGGATATAAATTTTGCAGGAATTTTTCTTCTCCATCAGATTGATTGCTTTTTTGTTTTTGATTATTGTTTTAAAAATGAGTAATAACTTTTGCAATCAAAGTTTATGATTTCAAAGAAAATATTAGAATTATTTGAAAATCATAAAAGAAATGCTGGTGGCTAGATGAATGTTTTTAGTTTAAAATAAAAGTTTCATGGCAATAGCATGACATAAAAACATTAAAATTTTCACATTATGAATCCAAAAGTACAAGACATAGTTAAAGTTTTAATCCCTAACAATTTTGTGTGTTGATTAATTAATAATATAATAAAATTTGTGAGTTAATTATTATTGTGTTTAAGTCAAATTCACATTCAGTAAACCAAAAACACTAAGAATTTGTTAATATTTTCTCAGAAGCAATTTGGCTCTTGACTAGTGTTGCAAGTGTGACTATTATGTGAATCTTGCACAAGATTTTCTTGGTAATTGTGCTATTTGATTAATTTAAGAACAATAATGATAATTTGGCAGATCATCTGGCTTTGATCAAAAATCCGGTTTGTTGAGTTGTTTATATAATAATAGTGATAACGTCTTTCTTTGAATTGAAAATAAAAATTCGGCAATGCAAATTGTTAGAAGCAAAATATACGTAAATTATATTGTTTACTTACTACTAATTTTCCATTTTTCGTTGTCGTCGTAGTTCCAGATGTTCACTAAACCGTCTCGCCCTTGCGTGAAAATATTATTTTCAAGAGATTCGACCCACAGAATGTGTTTATTTTCGTGTGCTTCCAATTTATTGTCGACTCTGTAGGTCTATAAATAAAATCAAAGTCAATCTAATTTGTCATATTAAAAGTATCAAAAGGATATTAATATTTAAAGTGTTCAAAAAATATTAAGTTCTAATTGAGAACTACTATAAAACTACAAGCTTCACTGTTTAGGTGTTATAGTGACATGATATTAAAATAAACACCATACTTTTACACATAGAGAAGAAATGTTGGAAGAGGCAGAAGCACTAAAGCATCTATGCTAAGAAATAACAGAAGTAGGAGGAGGTAAAGGTATTCACATTATGAATTGTCTCAACAATATGGGAGTGAATATTTACCTCCTGTTTGTGGATCCATTGACAGACCAAGCTGATTGCTTTGATATCTGCTAAAATACCTTTCTACAGATGGTTTCTTTCAGAGGTCTCAACCAACCATCAACCCACACCTCTGGAAGATTATTGACTATCCACCATACAGCCCAGACCTCGAAACTAGTGACACTCATCTTTTTGGATATCTGAAGAAACATCTCTGAAAGGATATTCATCGGATGACAAAACAATCAATGTGAACCGAAAGCAATTCCGCAAGTGATCTGGGGTTCTATGCAGGAGGTGTACATTCCCTCCCATAGCACTAGAACAAATGTGAAAATATAACATTAGTATAGTACATAACATGCCATGGTACAATTATACCTCTGAATGAGACAGTTGGGACCTTATCTGAGCTGTAGACTATACTCATAGGAGTGAGAAAGTGAAATAAACCATTCCTCTACATGTGACTCTTTGCAAGATACAGCCTACTTCCATGTCGCATACGATCAGGAGTCACGTCGCTCCACTAAGAGTATTGCTTTTTACTACTTAGCCTATGCTTTGAGTAGTTCTCTTGGCTGTTCATGGAGTATTTGATGTTATACAGTTGCCTCACACAGGTGCTTCGGTGTTTGAGATAAGCCGTGGGTCAGGGGTTAATCTCCTACTGACCACTTAATCGGCACAGGCTGGTAAGACCAGATCTTGGGGTCGTTGGATGGCTAGGAGGGCAAAAAGTGAGTGGGGAGTGCGTTGGTAAGTCGGCAGGCATCCTTTAAATGACAGGAGACTGGTTTAACAAAATAACAAAGCATTTATTGATTGGCTAAGCTAGGATACAAAAAGGCTATAACAATATATAGGTTAAATGCGGTTAGATACAACCCAGAATAAATGCGGCTAACATACTATACTCCTTACTCAAGGGTTAAACTAAAAATACGCTTAGAGGGAGAGAGAGAGAGAGTCCGCAGGTTTAAATAATTACCTCAAAGAGAGCTCTATGTGGCAATTAAGTGTTATGTAGAAGTTCCTATGGTCTTCTATATGGTATATTCTCCTTTCGTCGGATCGAGTTCATTATATGGAGGTCCTGGAGACGAGATGCACACATCGACAAGTATAACTTCCGAGAGATCACCCCGAGCTTCCGGAGATTCGAGCTTTTATATCATTCGCGTGAAAAAACTGACACGTGATTGACTTTTGTTGATAATGACAGTGCATTCTTCACACCTAAGTGTAAACTTTCCCAGCTCATTGTTATACAATCGGTGAAATCCGATCTAGTTCAAATTCTTTGGGTTTTTTCCGAAGATATTTACAATTAACAGAAAATTTTGATTTTTAAGAGCTCCGTAAAAATCCGCAGGCTCATAGGTGCTTGCTGTCACTCACACTGAAGCACACGTGGAGCTTGGAGAGTAGACAAATATCTCACAAAGGATCACACGTACAGTTATGATCGTGTGATCCTTTGATCACACGATCAGTTATGATCGTGTGATCGTAAAAAGTCAATGGAACAAGTAAAAGTTCCATTGACTTTTTACTTGTACAGGTAAGTGTACAATTCTGGGTTGTCAAATCCCTCATTCATAGTTCATATCTTACCAATTTTGGTTAAATTCCAGATACATATACCGTCATGGCGGCTCATCTCTGGTTCCAGCAAACAGTGGGGATGCACGTTCTAACCTAACCTAACCTATTCTAATAATTTGGTTGGTAATAATTATGGTAATTTATTAGAATAGATTAGGTTAGAACGTGCGTCCCCACTGTTTCCTTTCTTTTGTTTGCTGGAATCAGAGATGAGCCGCCATGACGGTATACGTATCTGGACTTTAACCCCAATTTTATAATAAAGGTATAAGTATACAAATGAGGTGGTTGAGGGCTTTAGGAGAGGGACTAAAATTTGGGGCCTCATTCAGAGCTGCCTTTGTACCTATTTATGCCTAATATATTATAAATTAATTTGAACCGAACTGATCTTACAACCAAAATGGCTGTTAGGACCATGAATAAGTCTTGGAATAATTTAGAATTCAATTATAGAAGTGGAATTTTAATTGATACCTCCAAATTCCAAAGGAAAACTTCACCAGTTGTGCTACCCGATAAAAGATGAGGATAATCAGATAATTCGTCGACGAAACTAAGACTCGTAACTTCACCAGTATGATGTCTCAGAGTAAATATAGGATCGGGCGGTGGTCTGGACATTTTAATTTCATTTGAACGTTCGTGTTTACTGAATATCAACACCAACACGTGTTTACTCAACGCCACCTTCCTAGGTGGCGTTGGTTTACTTCGTCAACCGCAAGCTCGACAATGCCCCCTGTCGTTAAATTTTAATTAATCTAAAAAAATGTATAAAGATATTAATTAATTAATATTAAAGAAAATTTTATTTATATTTAAATAAAAATTCAGTCATAATAAAATAAATTTTTCAAGCTGTATTTTTTTTTATTAATATAAGATGGCGTGAAATTACCTGGCATAGGGTTGCCAGATTTAAAATATTAAGAATAGCCAAATTTTATTTCTCGTGAATTTAGCTGAAGTGTTGTTTAATTCTATTGAGATAGAAAAAACAGACGAGTCAACTTTTAATAATGAATATAAATTTTGGATGGATACAAAAAAATAAAGTCCTGAAGCTTGTTTTTTTTTTAAAACACTCCGCCCTGTGGGCACTAAAATGGCCTCTTTTTTAGGAAGCCCATTATGGGTTCGGCCAGACACACAATGGGGCGGTGAAGAACGGAACCCGACATATCCAAACGGACCGTCTCCCCGAAAAATTCCTTCCGGATTCGAGTTCCCCAGAGCGGTAGGCTGCCACCTTCACTGCTCGGCCATCCGGCCGTCTATAAGTTATCTTCAACTGTACCGATAACGTTAAGCCCCCGCTTAACGATATTCTTAATCGTAAATGGGGTCACGATGGTAAAGGTGGTAGATTATTGACTATCCACCATACAGCCCAGACCTCGAAACTAGTGACACTCATCTTTTTGGATATCTGAAGAAACATCTCTGAAAGGATATTCATCGGATGACAAAACAATCAATGTGAACCGAAAGCAATTCCGCAAGTGATCTGGGGTTCTATGCAGGAGGTGTACATTCCCTCCCATAGCACTAGAACAAATGTGAAAATATAACATTAGTATAGTACATAACATGCCATGGTACAATTATACCTCTGAATGAGACAGTTGGGACCTTATCTGAGCTGTAGACTATACTCATAGGAGTGAGAAAGTGAAATAAACCATTCCTCTACATGTGACTCTTTGCAAGATACAGCCTACTTCCATGTCGCATACGATCAGGAGTCACGTCGCTCCACTAAGAGTATTGCTTTTTACTACTTAGCCTATGCTTTGAGTAGTTCTCTTGGCTGTTCATGGAGTATTTGATGTTATACAGTTGCCTCACACAGGTGCTTCAGTGTTTGAGATAAGCCGTGGGTCAGGGGTTAATCTCCTACTGACCACTTAATCGGCACAGGCTGGTAAGACCAGATCTTGGGGTCGTTGGATGGCTAGGAGGGCAAAAAGTGAGTGGGGAGTGCGTTGGTAAGTCGGCAGGCATCCTTTAAATGACAGGAGACTGGTTTAACAAAATAACAAAGCATTTATTGATTGGCTAAGCTAGGATACAAAAAGGCTATAACAATATATAGGTTAAATGCGGTTAGATACAACCCAGAATAAATGCGGCTAACATACTATACTCCTTACTCAAGGGTTAAACTAAAAATACGCTTAGAGGGAGAGAGAGAGAGAGTCCGCAGGTTTAAATAATTACCTCAAAGAGAGCTCTATGTGGCAATTAAGTGTTATGTAGAAGTTCCTATGGTCTTCTATATGGTATATTCTCCTTTCGTCGGATCGAGTTCATTATATGGAGGTCCTGGAGACGAGATGCACACATCGACAAGTATAACTTCCGAGAGATCACCCCGAGCTTCCGGAGATTCGAGCTTTTATATCATTCGCGTGAAAAAACTGACACGTGATTGACTTTTGTTGATAATGACAGTGCATTCTTCACACCTAAGTGTAAACTTTCCCAGCTCATTGTTATACAATCGGTGAAATCCGATCTAGTTCAAATTCTTTGGGTTTTTTCCGAAGATATTTACAATTAACAGAAAATTTTGATTTTTAAGAGCTCTGTAAAAATCCGCAGGCTCATAGGTGCTTGCTGTCACTCACACTGAAGCACACGTGGAGCTTGGAGAGTAGACAAATATCTCACAAAGGATCACACGTACAGTTATGATCGTGTGATCCTTTGATCACACGATCAGTTATGATCGTGTGATCGTAAAAAGTCAATGGAACAAGTAAAAGTTCCATTGACTTTTTACTTGTACAGGTAAGTGTACAATTCTGGGTTGTCAAATCCCTCATTCATAGTTCATATCTTACCAATTTTGGTTAAATTCCAGATACATATACCGTCATGGCGGCTCATCTCTGGTTCCAGCAAACAGTGGGGATGCACGTTCTAACCTAACCTAACCTATTCTAATAATTTGGTTGGTAATAATTATGGTAATTTATTAGAATAGGTTAGGTTAGG